GTATGTTGAATCTAGTGGTGCTTCCTTGACCAGTATGAAGCTACAAATGTCTTGGTGTTTATCCTAGTCTAAATCAGGTGGCTTAAATTGTTTGTCTTCCTCTCTCTTTTCGGTTCTTCTTGTGCGCTTCTAAAACTTGTACCTTTCGACAAAGACAAGCGAATCATATCTGTATGATCAGAGATTAAATGAACTTTGAGAACACAGACACTTACCTTAGAGAGTAAATTTCTTTGGCTATGGCTCATATTAGGATTGCTTGTTGGGAATTGTAGTTTTATCTGAGCATAGGTAATGCATCTGGTGGGTTCTCCTTGATTTGAACAGAACACGTGAGCTCTTTTCCTCGACCATGAATCAATACTAAATTGCCTCTAGTGAAATCTCCAATTCCACTCATGGTTCCTTGTTTGWGTTCTCTGCGAATGGATTGAAGCTGATGCAAATTTGGTGACTTTCCTTTGATCGCCAATGTGTTCAGTGCACCTTCAGATCTTCTCCAGTCGTCCTTGATTTGGAGTTGAACCTCGGAAGTGTTTTCCTTTGATGTCACTTCTCCTAAGTACTTATTCTTCTCCATGGCTCATGTTCCTTTCTGAGCACTCATAGGACAAAACAAGTGCATTATACTTGACATAGAGAAATCAAAAACATAGTATTTGAAAATATGACCTCTTGAAGCAAGATTATGTGGTGCACGTGGTTCAAGTGCAAGTTGATCATATCCCTCATCTGGATAGATATGTGAGATGTGTGTTTCTCGACGTTTCTCCTTTTCACCTATACCTTTATCAACTTCTTTTAGACAAGACAAGTGTGTTATCATGTCATGAGAAATATTGGAAAAAAATGGCTCAAATGATCACTTAGCTTAGCTTGTTCTGCATTACTATTATTAGTGATCTCAAGATTTGAGATTTGTCTCTAATGTGTGATCAAGGTTAGCTCTTCTTCTTGCCTTACGAGCTTTTTTTGTGTGTCCAGATCCCTACCCAAGTGATATTCTCCAGAATTTGATATTGATTGCCTTTGTTGCTCTCTGTCTCGTCTTGGAAATCTCTCTTGTTCCTTCATTTGTTGAAGTTTTAGATGAAATGCATCCAGTTAGTTATTCATGATATGTATCACAACAACTCCAATTCTTTCTGGATTGTCTTCTGGAAAGACATCTTCAAATT